AAATTATCCCCATAACACCACTTATAAAAAAACACTTACTATTAAAAAATCTAATCTTATTTAATAATTAATATTATATAATATGATATAATCTAAATTATCCAATACTTTTTTTCTCCCAAGACTTTTGAGCTGTATGGTTTGGTAATAAGCTGTGTTCCTTTTTCATAGTGATTTTCATTTGACGAATCGTACAAATGATGAGGATTAAAGGAGCATGGTTTTTCTTGGTGTTGTGTTTTTGGACGGCATTTTCACTTTCAACTAAACTCTTTAATATTCTTTATTATTATTATTTTTATAATTTTGGTGGGGGAATAGGTTCAAAGAAAAATAAAAATTCAAGATGTAACTAGGAGCTTTCACACCGGGAGTAGGGCAAAAGAAAAAGGTTATGTTTGTAGTTCAAAAATAGACTTTTTATATCTTCTTTGACCTTGTTACAAGGTAAGAATTCCCAACAACTAGGGTACAAGACAAAAATAAAGACTTTTGATATAGTTTTCATAATTATTATAAAACAAGAATTTCCAATAACTGCACTTGAGCTTTTAGGCTCGATGATATCAATCACGTTTAAGTGGATCTCCATCCCCTTAGTATAAGTTCGAATCCAGTCCTATGTGAATTTATTCAAAAAAAAAAAAAATTTCCAATAACCAGGGTACAAGACATAGGGGACTATTAGGGAAAATCAGTGAAACTATAGTCTTCGGTCCCATTACAAAATAATAATTCTAAATTTTTGTGTTGAGGCAAGATAATGCTCTTCCAAGCACTTCCAGATCTCGTATGCTGAGTTTGATCCAACAACGAGGCTAAGTGCATCTTCATTCATGGTTCCGAGAAGCCAGCTTGTAAGGAGGCCATCATTGTTTAGCCAAACATTGTATTCTGGATTTTCTGTTTCTCCTTTGTCCTTTGAGATAGTTTCTGGCTGTGCATCTTCTTGGATATGATGAAGAAGCTGAGCACTCCTTATGAGAGGATAAACCTGTGATTTCCACAACAGAAAATTTGTACTAGATAATTTCACAGACACTAAGCTTGCCATTTGATGGAAGCTTTGAATAGTGAGTGGAGTCTTGTTCTTTGCCATAGTTGTAGAATTAAAAGAAATGCAGATATTGTAGAACAAAGGATTCAGATGCAGTGATCGTACTGTTCTGATACCATGAAAAACTTTAATAAGGCTTAAAAGGTGAGAAACTGAGATTGTATATTTCTCTATATCTGATACATGTTCAACATAGGAATATATATACATATACAGCCAACGTTCAACTCCTAAATTAGTGCAGTTGGCCTTGATTTACTATAATGGAAAATCATTCTGTTAATTATTTTGATTTTGCTATTTCTTGACTGTTGCTTGCTTTGATATTTGATTTCTGAATCCTTTGCTCTTGATTTGTGATTTCTGCTTCCTTGTTGGTCATGTACTTGTCTCTTTCCTTTCTGGTTGTCTAACTCTCCTTTCTGTTCTCCATGATGTTCGTGATTTGCTGTGATAGTCTTCATACATGGATGTCATGATGGCCCTAAAACTGGCAGACTTAGGGTATTAAATAACGTAAGTCCTTTTCTTCCACATTTCCATTTTTATAGTTGTTCTTCTTTGCTATTTATTTCTCTAATTGACAAGCAATAACTTCGCAAGTTTTTTTTTTCACCTGACATGTTTTCAAAATCTAAATTTTTGGAGTAACCATATTCCCTAGTCTGCCACTCTATGTTTGAACAATTACCGTCCTCAGAATATGTAGTTTTGATATGGTAGCTAGTTTCTCTCTTTAATACTACTCTCTCTCACAGTTGGAATGAATAGTTTGTTTCTGTCTCTTGCAGGAACCAAAGCTCTTTCATGGCTTTAACTTTTATTGTGGGTGACTTTGTATCTGCTTACAAGCAAGATCTTATAAATTTGGTAGTTGCAGCAGAAGGTATAGTTTCGACTATTAGTGAGGAACTACTAGGATGTAATACTCATCATGACCAGGCAGCAGCTCTATCAAGTAGAGTTGTGGTGTATAACCTTGATCCCCCGGAGGGATCTGAATTAGAAGAAGTAGTTTCAATTATGTGGCAGAGAATTAACGAAGCGCAAGAGTTGGCTACTAAAATTGGAGGACAAGTCACTGGTCGCACATGGCTTTTGGAATCAATTGCAGCGTATAAATTGAAACTTTTAGGACCAAGCCTTGTCTGCAGCTAATAGGTTTATGCTTGTCTAACTTGAAAACCCTGTCACTTCTTTGCTAATTGATTACATATATCTACATATATCCGTAGTTTAGATTAGAATATTGTATGAATCCTTTGAAATGGATAATGAAGCGAAATTTTTTTGATTTAGAGTTCAATCATTCTAGGTAATCTCTTTCT